ATCTCTTTTAGTCCACATTCCACTATGTTGACACCATGAAGGAGGATATAATTAAATCTCTGGGTTTATACTACTACACATTTGCTGATCTGATGGATCTGAAGGATAATATACTGCAACTTTTGACAACTATGGATCCTTGTCAGTGTCAGCTTGACAGTGTGGGTGCCAATTGAATAGCGGAAAAACTATTGAAATCCTTTCTTCTGCTTATATTGAATTAGAACTTTATGTGTTTAGTCGCTTAATTATGAACTGACAGCAGGATACCTTAATCTGGTTGTAAATCTTATTTGCCTGATGATTCTTCTCTCTCGCGTCGATGATCGTAAAGTTGTTTCTGGGTGGGTTTTATTAAAAGGCTAAACATAATCTCAAAATAAGTGGAATAATAAGAAAATGACTTTCCAGGACTGTTCAATGCTGCATATGATTTGACGCACGTGCAAAGCGAAGCCTCGTTTCCCACGTTTGGGTCAAATGATTCTGGATTACGAGCATCCTCTGAAGAAACTTAGCGAAGACCTTGGACCCTTGAATCGAGTAGGTTTTTATCAATAATATAAGTTTTCGGGCCAGTTTCATGCAAGTAACTTTGGCTTCAGCTTACTATTCAAGGAAAAATGATAAGTGGACTAGTCGCTATTTCTGGAGCTCCTTTAAGATGCATATTCTAAGTGATATGCCAATTTTTACAAGAACTGCCGATTAAATACTGCGTGGCTCTATCGCAGTCGTCCTCGGTTATCTCCATTGAATCCGTTGAAGAATTTCTAGAGTCGTGCCTATCAATTAAGCATTTTAAACTTCCAGTTAATTTCGTCGGCGCTTTCGTCCCTTTCTCCTGTCTATCTTCGTCGAAATATTACTGCAAATACATGGAGGAATGCTCAAATTCTCTCTCTTACGGCCAATCCCCATCAAATTTTATACGCAGCTCAAACGGATACGGTAAGTGGTAATCTTTTTCTATGCCATACTTTTACGGCTGCCGTTGCAGCTGTGTTGTCATACTTCTACTTAGGGACTTCTTTATTTGTGTGAGTATTGAGTTCGCATTCATTGAGACTTTTCACACTGTGGAGAAGCTGAAGTAATCTGGTTTCTCGCTACCCAAGGAGCGCTAAAATTCAGGAGACGTTAGGGTCAAGTAGTGATGCGAGATTTTTGGGACGCGACAGAATTCCTTCCACAAATCGCTAACTTGGTGTGTCGATTTGTGTGTCGATACGCTTGTCTGTCTGTCCGTCCGCAAAATGAAGTGAGTGATAAGGCAGCTATGGAATAAACAAGCCTGAGTAGCTCGCAGGGCTTGCGCTATCAATGTTTTGCAATGGCATGATTGTGATAACATTCCAACGGCTATATAACACTACTTAGCACACTTCCGGTCATTCCACAAGGTGCTGCAGTGGCAGCTGGAGAGCAGTGGAGGGAGGAGGGAGGATAAGGAGAGGAGGAGGAACGCAAAGCTTACGCAGGAAGGGAAGGTTCCGGCGGTTACCATGAGACGAATCTGGTTGCCCATAACATATTTGCGCATGTACTTGAAGACCTTGTTCTAAGTAAATACAGCACGACATATCAGCTACCTCTTGGTAATCCATACATTTTTGTTTTAGATCGCGTGTGAAGTATCTCTCTTTGGATGTTATGGATCGATGGATTGTCTGTGAGTTGCGACACTATTCCCTTAAATTTCATACTGGATTTTAGATCTATCTGTTTAAGTGTGTACAACTGTATGCCATTCCTCCTTGTTAAACGATAAGATCATATTTAATCTATGGCAGATGTCTCTTCAAATGGGTGTTTGCATACGACTGTTCAGAGATGAGGTAATCTAATATCCACTATAAGAACCACATGATCGGTGAACTGCTTCATCTATGTGAAACTTTCGAATACACTACAGGTTCTCCAAACTCATCACGAAATACAGCAGTTTTTCGACTCTATAAAGGGATATCATAAGCGATCTCAGGAAGTCAAGGACTGTTTCTCGATAGCACTGCAACAAAGGTACGTGGGTGATCGCTATACAGTGGACCGTAAACTCTAAAAATGATTTTTCAGCGCCTCTATTCACGCTGATCGTCGACGATTTCTCCGTGTTGCACTTCGTGAACTTTGTCTTTTTATTAAAGACCAACCTGGTTTACTAGGCCCGAAAATCCTTGTTTGTTTGGATGGCGCTCTCATTCACCAGAGATGAAGTAACGTCTTTTTATCTTCTTTTTGCTTCACTATAATTACTACAGCTGCTTTCAAGGTATTATGGCTTCTTCGGCATCTCAGTGAATGGCCTTCGTCAAATAAAAAAGGAAGCAAAGCAGTGTGATGAGCTGGTGGATCGTCAGCTACCTGAGCTTCTTTACTACATGCTTGAGTTGAGGCAATTAGTAACGAAGCATAGCGATGTAATACAGCGGTATTATTTGAAGGTCAATCTTGTTCATGTTGTTTTTCTAATGAGCTCTTATTTACATCAGTGCAATTTTGTCTTTCAAGTATGTGAACGGTTACGATGCCATCATGACTCGTGAATTGGTGTCCGCCATTGGCGACTTGAATGAGGAGGACGCAACAATTTTGTCCGATTTTGCCACATCGATATCCTCGATTAATTCCGACACCGACCTGCGAGCTCTGCGTCTGGACTGGTTCCGTTTCCAGGTTAGCAACGCACGTTTTTCCTTTTTTAATATTTTTTCTTCTGAAAATTTGCTTAAATTTTGTTCGTGTTTTATTCCATCCATTTGCATTTGTTTTTTTTTATTATTACTTTCGCATTCGATTTGTCGTCTCTGTTCACATATAAATACCCTCGGTAGTAAAAAGAGCTGTTGATTCAAGGGCACTATGTCTTATCGCTTTTGGCCAAAAACTGTTCTCGACTTGTTTTACTTTATATCATTATTTTTTCATTATTTTTTTCTGTCATCATTGCACAGAAATTCCTTTTGCCCTAATGCTTAATCTCTCAGAGACGCACCCTCCAATTGCGCTGACTTGGGTTATTGCGCTCGAAAATTAGTGCAGATGTTGGTGGTCGAATAATAATGAAGAGAGCGTATTAACCCTTTGACGACAATGCGGATTTGCACGTAGCGTGCTCGTGGGACCACGCCTCTTTTTGGCGCGCCCAACTCTCGCACAAAATGGGGCAAAATTGTCCCTAAAGCAGTTTTTCTATCTGATTTTTGACTTTCAGTATACAAAATATAAATACAGATTTGAGCTTTCATATTATGTATTGTTGGGAAGCGAACTGAATGTTTGGAAGGGGGACTCGAACTTCAAAGGAATGGAGGGTAAAAACTCGAGAAGTTCATATTTACAATAGAATTTTTGATACAATTCAAACCCCTCCTTGTACCTGAAGACTATGACAAGACGGAGAAGTCCCGATCAGTATCTAATCTTCAGTCTAGTAATGCAAAACCTCAGTTAAAAAGCCGCCGAACTAAATGCCTGAAATTTCGTGTAAATTAGTTCCTATAACACACTTCTGTCAAGCATGCTACACATAGATATCATGAAGGTTGCTAATAATTACCAGAATGTAAAATATTTCAAATGCGCAAAGAAGGAAATTTTAAGGTGGCACCCACCATTGGGTGCCATTGTCCCACGCGGCGAACATAGTGGCACCCACCGGTGGGTGCCATTGTCGTCAAAGGGTTGAACTGCAACAATCTGAATCTCTTCGCGCACTGCATTATCTTGGCGGAGATTTCGACCATCTCGTTGGTAGGCCTCCCATCTTTCTCACCAGGAAGGTCTTTCAGGACATGGAGCCCTTTTTGAAAACGGTTTTTTGCATGATAAAGGGGCACATGCATGGAGTACAAAACTAGGCTCCATTTTTTCTGAGCGGCCCTCTGAATGCCAAAAAAGGAGTGAAAAAAATTTCTTCAGAAATCGGAGTTTTCACACCTTCAACGTGGTTTATATCACTCGTTATGTTAAGTGGACGCACAATAGAAGGTTTTCTTCACCTGAACGTTGAAAACAGCGTGGAATAAAGCCAATACCAAAAATTGTATATAATAAGTGCTCAAAAGCACAAGGAAGTTTCATCAGAGTCGTTGACATTCATGTACAGCGGTGGTCGGATGGTCGAGTGGATAGCGTGATGGACTCTGGTTGGCACGGTTTGTTCGAAGTTGTTGGTTCGGTTCCCCTCCATGCTCGGATTTTTGCATTTTTCCGATTATCACTTTTTTGCATTTGCATGTGCTTGCGCGTGAACTTAAAGCCTATAGGTGTCATTTCCAAGACTTTCTTTCCCACAATTCTGCGATATTTCGTATTACCATGTTTTTTTTTCAGTTGTGTACGAAATTCCGTTTACAAGCAATAAATAACTAGCAGTTATGGTAAAACTCAATGAAGCATCTGAATCACAGGCGCGGATCACACCAACTGCATCTAACGAACGCCAGAAAAGTGAAGTTGTCATTTTCTTCGCAAGGAACACTTGTTCCTAAGGGCAGATGGCCTGGAGTTTAGGGACGTCCAGATGCTACGTCGACGGTATTCAAGCGCCTCGAGCGCTTCGCAGTGCCCATACCCATTCATCGATCGGATCAAACGGGTGGGTGCGCCAGATCGCGCGGCCATGGACAGGAACTGCGGTGGAAGTGTAACTATCAACCAAACGTGCCGCTTACTATTATCTCGAAGTTGTCTCCAAGTGGGAAACGTGCATGCCGTACTGACTATAGGCTTACCCATGGCGCAATTTTTGAATTCGGGCCGAAATCTTGATCTTCCGGCTCTAAAACTGCGGTCTATAAGGGTAATTATAGGCGCTGATTACGAATCTGACGTCCATTTTTGATGGAGGCGCGATATTGCGCCATTTTAGCCTCCTCGGGCACCAACTCGGCGCCGCTTTAGCGCCATACAATTTTCGCCCCAATTCTGGGCAGAAAGCTAATCAGAAAGGTTGATGACCCTGATTGTAAGAACAGTACCTATTTTTATCGGTGGTAACATTTGGAGCCGTCTGGCAACATGCGCTAACATGAAATGCAAAATTTTGTCATCAGCCGGGACCGATCCCTCGACCAATTTTTCATACCTTTTTTGGCACTCACAGGGCCGCTCAGAAAAAATGGAGCCATAGTTTTGTACTCCATGCATGTGCCCCTTTATCATGCAAAAAACCGTTTTCAAAAAGGGCTCCATGTCCTGAAAGACCTTGACTGTCATCTTACGGCTGATCATAGGACCGACCATAAGAGGCCGACCCTACGCACTTGCCACTGCCGCTCTTTACTTAGGCGGCAAGGATACCTATTTTGGTAGTTGCTCTCAAAAGTGAAGTATGCTGTTTTCTATCTGCCACTCCTTATTTGTAAATAGAAAATTATTTAAATCATGTCTTTTAGGCAAAAATGAGCATGGCAAGGTCAGCTTGCTCGCTGCAGAAAAATCGGAAGCTAGCTATGTGATTGCACACAAACGTTCCTTTGCAAAAATGATTTGTATTCTGCAAGATATGATCTCAATAGAAACTTCAGTGATACTCAGTGTTTATCCTGGGTAAGTTGGCGACACTTATATCGCGACTCCCAAATCTCAAACATCGCAGTGTTGTCCAATAAAACTTCAGTTCTAACATTAGAACTTTGGAAAGACAATGGAAAAGTTGTCTCACACTTCCGTCCCAGTCACGATTTGCTCTCTGCTTTGCTAGAATTTGCGGGCATTTCAGTTCTGCCCTGCATGATATGTGTCCTGAAGAAAAAAATCACATACTTGAGAAGGGTAGTGATTGGTTATCGTAAACTTCTCTTAATCTGTTCCTCTTTTCTCAGTGCGTTCTTTCATATTTACAATATTTCTACAAAGAGCTTTTAAACTGTCTTTTTCCTTCTCTATTCTATTTCTTCATCTATTAGTTTTTTTCGTTCTTTTCCTACTAGTTGCCATGTTCGCGTAAGAATTAGTCCGTTCCCTGCTATTTTCCCTGTGTGCTCTTTCTTTTTTTTCTCTTACCAGGAATAACTCTATTTGTCCTTACGTACTGTGCTTCGTTCGCTTTTCGTCTTGTTCGCACATCGTGTATTATGTTTTTTTTTTCGTGTCATATTTCTCTCTCTCTCACTCTCTCTCTCTCTCTGTTTATCACTTTCTTCTCCCATGCTGTCTTTCCTTACTGCCCGTTTCTCCTTTTGCACACAATTCACCTGTCTTGCCCTTCTAATTTGTTTTCTTCCCATTACTTTCTTGTATTTTTTCATCTGCATTTTGTTAATATTTCTGTTCTTCCCTCATAGATATCCAACTTTTCTGCTTTTTGATCTCTCGTTCAATACATTCCTCACAACTTTGAAATTTCTTTTGGCGTTTCATTCTGGTTCTTTCAGTCCCTTGCCATATGTAACTCAATCCTGGACGACGTATGCCAATCAATTACCGACGTTGTGGGAGCATTATGCGAGTACGAGTTGCGACTGGCAGAGCAAACTTCTCCGAGTACTGTGAGTGGGATATCACTAAATCGTTTGTTATATCCTTAACGGCATACTTTGTATTTCTAGATAGCCGCTCAGATCGTTACTCAGATGTTGCGAAGCAAGGGTAGCAAAAGCGCTGCAGCAGCTGCAGCTGCTCAAAAAGATCCTATACAAGCTGGAGAAGAAAGTTATCGCGTGGATCGGCAGACACTGACTTATCCAGACAAGCTGCTCACTACTTTGAGTTAGTCTTTGAGAGAAATCCTTTTTGGTCTCTTCGACTTGTGTAGTATTGTTTGGTGGTATCATATCGTCCGATCTTAACGATCGTAACGATCGCACAGCGTTAGATACGTATCGATCGTCGAAAACATAGGCAAGTCTGGCGATTGATACGCATCCAATGCAGTGCGACCGGTACGATTGGACGACCGACTATGCATGCGCCCCGAGAGCAGGATTTTTAACGTCTTCATTTCAGTCGAGCTCTGTGCGGGTGTGGGTCAGTATCGTCAGCTTTTCATATCTGATCACTTTTTCGCTCCCAGGGAATACCTTAGTCAACACATTGAGCACAAATTCGTTGAACTCATACTTGCTATGGCAACCGATTCCGGTGTGTTTTATAACTTCTAGTATTCGACTGTACATATACAAAAGAGTCGTTTAAGCATCTTCCACTCCTCGGAGGCCATCTGATCTTTTAATGATCATCCAGTCTTACATGACTGTCCTGCAGAATATTGATGCTTGCGGTAAGTGTACTTTTGTGCAAGTTATTTTCGAACCGTCACCAAAAGTCGTGTAAATACTGTTTTGTCCCTTCGTCCTCTTTACCTTTGGTTTTCGTAAGCGATTAGCGCGATTGTTCTTCAAATTAGCGGTTAAATCTGTAAGTATCCGATCTCTTAAATGGTCTGAATGCTTGCAGTTCCGTTGGATATAACGCGGCTGTTCAACAATGTGTTGCTCCAGCAAACACAACCGTTGGACTCACGCAACAAGGAAACAATGACCTATATTTACACAAAATGGTAACTTTTTCAATATAAAAATCTTGAAACCGTAGGTGAAGGCTCTGTGTAACTAGTTCTTTGAGCGACTTCATTGACATCGATTTAAAGTCTTGGGAAGATGGAAATGTCACAATGTTAATGTTCGTGTTAGCATATGTGTGTAGGCAATTTATTACTACCTATGTAGCGTAATTCAGGTATCTGGAAGTGGTTTTACGCCGCGCATCTGCTGGTCACATGCTGTGGAGTGAGCATTTACAAGCAATGATTTCAAGTGGTGAAGGAAACGACTTCGCACCGGAGCAGTATACTGATCCAAGAGGTACGAATTCTATGACAGATCACTAATTTCTGCTTAGGCTATGCCACGCATGAACGGGAAGCTAATCATTTTGAAACGATTGTTTCCTGATAAGTTGAATAACCATTGGCGTTGAAAAAGGATCGTTCAGAACTACGATGCTTGGCTCAGATCATAGGCCCCTACGGGGTGAAGTATCTTGCGGAGAGGCTAACTTGGCATGTGGCCAGTCAGATTGGCGAATTAAATAAGGTGAGCTTCAGTCTGTCTGTACTTCCCTTCTGCATTTGAAGATTTTATCAAGCAGTTACTTTTACATTATAGATCGTTGTCGCCAATAAGGAAGTGCTGCACACAGCAAGAACTCAGTTCGATTGTAGTGAGCGCATGAAGGAAGTTATTCAAACGCTTTCTCATGAACCAAAAGACAAGAAAGTGCGTGGTTGGGTTGAGTTGACAAGTATGATTCGCTCTTTTTAACGAATCATATAATGTGGTGACCAGAAAGTTGCAGTCTTTTTTAAGGGAGCTGTGAGCTCACCTTCCGATGCAATTCTTCAACGAACAGCTATAATCGGCCAGATATTCAGCTTTAGAGATGCGTTACATGTTGCTTTGGAACAGGTCAGAACACTGAGTTCTCATGATGCACCTGATGTTTCTTAATATATTCGCTTGGATTTTGTCTATTAGAACAATTACAATTCTCTTTTCCATTTTCCAAATGATCATTTTTAAAATCTGCAAGGGCGAAATTCCGTCGGTGATTAGATCATGATTTCCTTCGGTGATCATGATTTTTAATGACCACCGTTATTATTTTTGCATTAAAACCCCTCAATATTCTATTTTCTCTGAACTTATACGTTGAAGCTTTTCGGCATTCATTTTTAATCCAGTTCTTGCCGTTTATTGGGAAAATATTGGATACTTTAAGGTTCTGTTGAATCGTTTGCCCTTCCTGATGTCTTCGTTTACCAACTTATACTGCAGCATGGACGACGCTGGAAAATCGGTCAGTATCACTATTCCACATTAGGGTAGACTCGAAAGGTATAGTTTTATTTCAGGCATTGGGTGAGCTAGGCGCTGCCATGGGTGTTCAAGGTCCTGTTGACGTCGCTCTAGCAAACGCTGTACGAGCCCAAAGTTTACAGGTACTGCAGTGGTGCATTGGTCACAGAATGCTTTTATACGTAGTTTTTATGCAGAACGAATTTGGTATATTCAGATTAACCCTGACGAGCACTACCAGATGAGCTGTTTGCTGTTAGTAGCTATAGCGATTAGCCTACCAAAGCTCGCTCTTATTGAGACAGCAACATATAAACCTAGTCTGCGTGGTAAGTGATTCCTATTCAAACATAAAGTCGACAATAATAATATCCTGCAGTGCTCAATTTCAGCAAGTTTGAATAACACTCACTGCATTCCACTGGCTGTGAACACGATTGCGGGAGCGTTGTTTCATCACCATGGGCGAGGTGACACACATTTGAGAATGAAGGAATTCCTCGCGGTTAGTGGACAGCTCAATTGTCGAAGAATCCGTGCCGTGATGAGTGTGTGTAAACAAGTGCAAAAAATAACTTTTTAAGGCCCCACAGTCAAGGAATAATAGTATCTTGCAGTGCTCAATTTCACCAAGTTTGAATAACACTCACTGCATTCTTGCGGAAGCATTGTTTGATCACCATGGGAGTTATAGTTGTGGTGTATGAAATCTAAGTCGAAGCTTCAGCAGAATCTGGAACTCGCTTTTAGTTTTCATAAGAGAAAAGATTCGGTTGGTCGAGAAAACCCGAAATAATGGTGTAGTGCAAGTGGCGCTGCTACCACGCGAGCGGTCCGGGGATCAAATCCTGGGTCGTGAGTCGCCCGGGCCAACCAAGCCTTCCATCCCTCCGGGGTCGGTTAATTGGTACCAGACTTGTCTGGGAGGATAAAAACACTGACTTGTACATCGGCTGGCCCCCGCAAGTCATTGTATAGGCCATCGCATTCAGTTGCCACTGCGTATTGCAT